GCTACACAAGTGGGGGTGATTGGATCCCTGTAATGTGATGTTTTTAACTCACCATTGTTATTGTAGACTCAACAGGTGCCTCAAGAATTTATAATATGAAGAATCACACACTTCTGAGGGAGTTATTGTTCCTGAGACTGATGGACAACAAGGTGCTCCTGGGACTACAGGCTGCCCTCTTTCCCCTTGTCTACCTGGTGGTCACGCTGGAGAATCTGATCATCCTCCTCATCCTCACAGTTTTCCGTCACCAGCTATGCACCCCCATGTATTTCTTCCTCAGGCATTTGTCCTTCTTGGACCTGTGCCTCATTTGCACCACAATCCCCAGATCCATTCTCAACTCTCACCCTCACTGATGTCATCTCCTTCTGTACTACGTGTGTTACATCTTCTGGTGATCCTGTTGTCATGATGAGAGGTGGGAATCCTCACTGCCATGTCCTACGATTGCCATGTCACCATCTGTCACCCTCTGCACCATGAGGCTGTCATGAGCAAAGGGTGCTGTGTCCCATTGATGGCTGTGTCCTGGCTCAGTGGAGGGACTCTGGGAATCTTGTACTCAGCTGGGACATTCTCCCTGGAGTTCTGTAGCTCCAACAAATTCACCAGTTTTTCTGGGACGTTCCTGCCCTTCTCACACTCAGTTGCTCTAAGAAGCATGCTGCTATTAATGTCAGTGTGGGCCTCGGGGTTCTCTATGGGTTCTCATGTTTGGTTTGCATCATGGCTTCCTATGTGTTCATTTTCTCTACCCTGCTGAGGATCCCATCCAACCAGAACCTGTCCAAAGCCTTCTCCACCTGTGTACCCCACCTGATGGTTTTGCACACCTTTCTCCTCACAGGTGATGCTGTTTGTGTCTGCCACCAATGCACTTCCTCGTCTGGACTTGCTGTGCTCTGCATTCTGCACTGTGGCACCCCCAGCCTTGAACCCCATGTTCCACTGTTTAAGGAATAGTGACACTCAATCAGCTCTATGTAATGTTCTGGGGAAGCTCAGAAGGGGACCATAGGAAGATACTAAATTTGAAGGAGTCAGATACATCCCTACCAAAAATTTTCTCCTAACTAGCTGTTCAGTGTGATTTCTCTCTAGAGGTCATTAGATCCTGGATTCCTTCTTTGGTGATCTCAGGTTCTCAATTTCGGTACAAAGTGAAACATTTTTTATACTCCTTCACTTTACAGCTTTTGCTTTACAGAAATTATGAAGTTTTTTTCATTGTTTTTTCAATGAGTTTTGCTTTGTTCATGAAGTTCCCTATACATGAGAATTCCGTGATGTTCTCATTCCTACTAAGCATTCATCTTTCTGTCTTTCTCTGTATTTTGTCAGTGTTATGTTTGTCTAGATTTTTCATTGTGTTTCCCAGGTTTTGACAATTAGGTTTTATTATAATTTCCATATTTATGATTTAAACATAATTTTAAATTTTTAAAGTGTCCTTAATTTTATCATAGGTTTTGCTTGTTGAATATTTATTTAATGTATTCTATATAATACAATATTTAATACTTCACATTAATTGAAATAAATTATATTTCAGGATGCAGCTGTTTTTCTCTTTACGGAAAATTGTTTGTCTGTAATATGCTGATTATTGACATTAACTAATTACAAATGGAATCTATGAACTTGGCACTATGAATGAGTCTTCCAGACTCTCACTGTCACATGGTCTTTCCTGAAATTGCAATGTGCAAAATTATGCCCTTCTCTGGCTACAGATTGCAGTTCTGTCTCCCTGGTCATTCTGCCCACTGCTTCCATCAGGGGAGTGAATTCATGTTTGTTGACCTCATCTTGACAGCATACACTTTGAAACTTTCCCGGCCTATCCAATGCAGGAGAAGCTTCACACCTAGCAGCTGAGATAACTGATGCCCAGAGAGCTGTGGCCTAGCCTTAGATACCAAGCCCATAACACAGGATGTAGAAAGTGCTATCGCTACTGGGAGGGCCTTCAGATACTGCAAACATAAACATATCTTGGAAATTTGCTCTTAGTACCCTTCTTATGGACTCTCCTATTTTATAAATTCTACTCAAATTTTAAAGTGTAGTTTAAATAGAATGTGATAATGAAGAAATGTAAAGCACTTGGTTTCACATTTTCTAATCTCTAAACAATGTAAAAGTCAGAGGATGAAAAATGAATACATCCATTAGAGTAATATAAGTATCAATTTTATTAGGCAATTACATATCATATAAGAACTCAGGATTTTATGCCTAGTGGATAAGTGAAGCATACAGTCATTGATTTATTCTAATATGGGATTCTGAGAATGTCAGTTTTGTTGTGACTTCCCCTTTGAAGACTCCTGATGCTAATAATTCAGGTTACATCAGATGCACCATATAACTAATAATGTCTTTGAAAAAAAATATTGCATTGAATGAACACATTAATTTTAGTTAATTCCTTTGTATAGAAACACTGAATTGATATGTGAAAAAAAATTGCATTTGAGAATGAAGGCATTGGTGAATAACTCAATATTTAGAAGGAATCTCAATAACTGTAAATCACACGTACGCATCAGTCACAAATACAACTAATATTTTAAGTGGTAAAATACAGTTATTGATTATCTGATGAAGTAGACCTGAGAGAACATGTTATGTTTAAATTCAAAGTCAAGAAAAGTGTGACTGGCCTGTGATGCTCAGGCCCTGCAGAATCACACATAGGCTGTGCCTTCTCAGCCTGGCTGTGCAGTGAATCCTTCCTCATCATCTTGCCCATCTTTCATCTTCTGTATGGGAATTTCCTGACATTTGTCAGCTGAGGCTGTGACACAGAGATGGGCTGAGAACCCTCAACTTCCAGGTCACTTCTTTCCTGTCTTCCCACATATGTCCAAAAAGCCATAGCATCCTAGTGATGATTCACAGGAACCTGGGAAATACTGTGTCCACCTTAACTGAAAGCAGCTCTGAATGTGTGGGGAGAGTTGCTTTCCTTAGAGAATTAAACCTAACTCAGCCTCTGGGAGCTCATTCAACCTTCTACACTACTAGGTCTACATCGTAGAGTACAGATTTTGGTGAATTATTCAATATTGACCTTTCATATACTCTTCAACTTGTGCTGCAAAATCCATAAAAACATTGTGTTTAGAAGGATTCAAAAACTAATTTTAAGGAAGTTCTTGATCTTACATGCTAATGATGATAAATCCTGTAACTCTGGAAAAAGAGCATTTTTTTTTCCTATCCTTGAAAATTTTAGCAACATAATTTGGTCTACAGTACATTTTCAGTGGAAATAAGTGCTCTGCTTCATAGGGAAGACACATGTGGTGCACTTAGGAGACGTCTGTCACAGCATTTGCAAATGGTATGTGGCAAATATTTAGACGTCTTAAAGGAGGATTGTACCACAGTCTATTGTTCTGGCATCTAAAGAAAGATATGAGTTCTTTGATGAGCTCAGTATTAAGGGCTAAATTATTTCAGAGAATCAGTCCATGAAAGTGCACAAATGTACAGTAAGAAGTGTGGTTTCTTTATTGTAATTTGCTGTGAATTTTATTAAGAAATAAAGCTAGATCATGCTGTAGAATAGAAATCTATTGTACATAAAATAATTTGACTTTAATTCAAAATATTATTTACACTTCATGAGAAGAAATATCAAGGAATTATTTATCTTTTGAGGAAACTTCATATTATAGGTAAGTGTCTAAAAGTAAGTTAAATGTTTTAGAAATTGCCCCATCTATACTGTGATGTACAGAAGAAGGTAGGGCATTTTAATATTTCAGGTGAGTATTTTCAAAGGACTAGTTCTGATTTTGTGTCCATATTTTTCCATCATTAAAATAAATTGCAAATAAAGCAGCTAGAGTCTTACTGCAAATATATACATATCTATATGATTTACATATGTTATATTTAGAGTGTCAATATGTCTGGGTGAGTATAGATAATTTTAAAGAGTAATGTAACATTTGTGGTATCTGAAAGGAAAATTTCCAATCAAATGGTTTTAAAATACAAATAGATTAAAAATATGAAGGAAATCAGTACTTACATTAATCCTGAAATAAAAATGAAATTTGAAATTAAATTGGGATTTTTTGTGCATATACTGCCTGAAGCTACAGGAACCAGGAAAACTTCAATTTGCTGAACAATAGTCATGTAATCGAGTGGTGTGCAAATTTTTTGCCCATTACCCACAAACATCTCAAACATGTAGTGGATATCAGGTAGACCCTCAGTTCATTTTCCTTCTTGCCTGATAGTTTTGTCATCAAACCTTTAGCAATTTTGAAAGGAACTAAATCACCTCAGTGTTATAATTAATATTTAAACCTAAAAAAAAAAATGAAGCCCTTAATATTTATTTTTCAATCAGTATTTTACATTCTTGTGATTACCATGGAAAAGCCCTGATAAGTACAACAGACCTATGAAAGTTTTCAGTTCAGCTAGGGAGGTGTTATAATAAACACATTTTTGAGTATGGATATTTGTACATACAGGACATTTTACTTGTATTTCATAACATCTTGTAGCATTTCATTTTTTATAAATGATTTCCAAAATTGAATGGCATTGCTGAAATTCTTTTCAATAGGTTTTACCCTTGCCCAGGTACTAGCTATAATTTTGGACCTAGTTCTATAATTGTATTATTCCATTGCTGCATGATAATTTTGTTACATGTCATCTAGGCAATTATGTACTTTCCCTGCTCCTTTGTTCACCATCTGAATCAAGTAAGTCTGCATTCCCTGTGTATTGGTCAATTTCACTAGCATAGTTGCTTTGGCTATTCCCACTGTCAAAGTCATTATCATTTTCATCATCCATGCATCAACAATCTGATAGTTTACTTTTGCCCTTCTCTGAAACTTGCAAATCACATTTTCCATGTGCTATTGTGCTGAATTTGGCTAATTATTTCAGAAAAATCTAAAGAGAACTTTATAAAAATTAAATCTTAAATGTTCAGATATTTAGCAATGAGTATTTCATGGCTAAAACTTGCAAGTTGCTGCTTTAGAGCTCTTGTACACATCTTTCCATTCATCTGCCAAGTGGGTGAATGCACAGATGGATTTTTGCCTTCACCATGTACAGCTACTATGAGACATGCCCACATTCCATTATGGTAAAGTATGAGGTTTATTCAAAAGAAGAGAAGTGTGGATGTATTTTACCCCTTGTGATGCTCATAAAGACATACTCAAAACCCAATACATGGAGGATTCTGTGGATAAAAATACTGGTTGGAGATTTGTACATGTTGGACATTTTGTACCTGTTTACAGAGTTTGCCATTCTTCATCTCAAGTGAGTAAATACAAAGATTATTTCCTGTGTATGCACAAGCACAGCTACTGAGATATGAAACAGGCTACTCTCATTCTAAAGTACAAATATACTCTAAAAATGTATGGGAAGAGTTGTTGTAACCTGATATATGTTCCTTCAAGGGTAGAACTCATAAATGTATCATTTCCCACAGGCTCTTTAATAAAATTTAGATATATGTTTACATGCAAGCAAAATCATAAATGCTTTATTTTCATAATTTACTATGATTTTTATACAGCAAAAATAAAAATACTTATCAGGGAATATGAGAGGGCATGATTAAATATGTTTGCCTACATCAGAGTAAAAATGTCTGGCTCTTTAATTATTCCAACTGCCAGTAAAATGTCAGTGTGACTGAAAAAAAGGGCATAACACAGTAGAATATTATTAGAAAACTTCCTTTCATTTCCCTAGATAATTAAACGTGAGGTCCAAGAGTTATTCTGATAAAATTTAGGGTCATTATGTACTTGATAGTGGAGGCCAGGAAAAGTATTTTTCATTGTGAATACTAGTGAGTAAGACAAAAACAATCTGTCTTTGCCCAGTGAGTACTGCTATAAATTTAACAGACATCAGTTTACTTCAGACTCATATTGAAAGCACTGTCTTAGTTTAATTTTGATTCATAAACTGTACTGGCTGCATTACAGTTGTAAAGACACAGAGACACAGCTGGTTCTGCTCAACTGGAAGCACCCTGGGGTCTCCTAGAAACTGTTCACCTGGCTGATCAGGGTCCTTGTGATAGCTCAGCTATTTATTTCTGGTGGCTTTGCAGGTGGATGTAGTGCCTCACCACCGGCAAGGCTTATTTTGCAGGAAGTTGTGCATGTGTTTCACATCAGTGGTTCATATGCCTTCCATGTATGGGAAGCACTGTGTTATCTCCATATAGTTATTTTCTTTAGGATATGGCTCCCTAGTTTTTCTTGAATGGTAATCAAACTCAGGACCTTATGATTGCCAGTCATGCACAGCACCACTGAGCAACATCATGGGCCCTCAATATTTTATTTGTTTTCAATAAATACAACCCAGAAATTAGTTAATAAATGATCTTAAATGAAATCTGATCGCAAAAACAGCCAATGTTCTCAAAGGTGAAGCCACCATAGCAGAGATCCAGATGAAACAATGACCTACACATTCGCTGTGTGAGGTGCAGCTTGTGACCTCAAGTGGCTCTTGGGCACTGTCTTTATAAAGCCAGAGATGAAGATGTGCACTCCAAGACAACCCAAAGTGAGAGATGAGAAGACACACTGCCACCCTGGAAGATCTGTCTCCTGCCCAGGCACAGGGAGTGTTAGATGAAGGGAAACTGGTAAGTAAGCAGGGCTGGCAACATCCTCCTCAGACCCCGTTTCATGTCACCATTCCTCAGGGTGTAGATGACAGGATTCAGGATCGGAGGCAGCGCAGTGTGGATCACAGAAGGCAGCCTGTCAATAAAAGGGGGTGAATCTGCAGGTGGCCTTAGGTAAACCATGAATGCACTTAGAGTATAAGCAGTAAAGACAACAAGATGAGGTAGGCACGTGGAGAAAGCTTTAGACTGTCTTTTCCTGGTTGGAATCCTTAGCACAGTGGAGAGAATGTGAACATAAGAGAAAATAATGCAGACAAAACAGGACAGGCTCAGACCAATCCCAATTCCCAGGCTGGGAGAGACCGCCAGGAGTGTGTCAGAGCAGGAAATCTTGAGTAAGGAGGGAATGTTGCAGAAAAACTCTGGGATTACACTGGACCCACAAAAGGGCCCAGAAAACATGCCAGCAGTGTACATGGCCCCAAAGAGCCCCCCCACAGCCCAGGAAGCTCCTGCCATCAGCATGCAGACGTGGCCATTAACAATGGCCTCATAGTGCAGTGGACAGCAGATGGCCACATAGCGGTCATAGGACATGGCAGTTAGGATAAATATCTCACTTGCTGAGAAGCATGTCATTAAAAGGAGCTGGAAGGCACACCCTGGAAGGGAAATGGAATTGTTGTGAGTCAGACTGTTGAGGATGAACTTTGGCATTGGGACAGACACCAGGGAGACATCCAGTAAGGATAAGTTCTTCAGAAAGAAGTACATGGGAGCTTGGAGCTGTGCATCCAGGCTAAGGACAGTGACAATGAGAAGGTTACTCATCAGGGCCACCAGGTACATCAGCAGGAAGAGCACTCCACAAAATATTTGTAGTTCAGGGTCCTTGGAAAACCCCAAGAGTAGGAAACCAGTCACCAAGGTGGTATTGACCATAGAAGAGCCTCCTCAATGTCTGTCAAGGTGAGTACATATGAAAAAAGAGAAAAAATAATAATTAGCCTCCAAACTGTGACATTAATATTCAGCAACAGTTGTAAAGGAGGACTGTAACTACTGCATCTTAACTGATTTTTGTATTTTCTTAAAAATTATCTTTCTTTCTGTGCTCCCCCCTTCTGTACTTTTTTCTACTATCCCCTTGCCTACACTCCTTTCTTCTCTCCCTCCCTTTTCTTTCCAGATATGAATAGAACTGGGTACCATACACATTAATTAGTAAACTACCAAGAAGCTACTTGATAACTATCTGGCATTTTTAAAAAATATAGAGCAATTAAAAGGAATAATGTATGAGGACATTTAGCCATGGTTTTGGTTTGAGTTTTAATACTCAGAGGTTGGAAAGGAATTTTCAGGCTTTTGGGTTGTTTTGTTCCCACTTAAATTGCACAGAATTCTTTGCTGATTATGTTCAATGTTTTATAGTGCTAGAAGAAAACATTCTGAATGGTCTCACAACCAAAACATGAAACACTATTAATGTATGCCATATAATAATTACCTTGATATAATCAATGCATAGTGTACATAGGTAAGAAACAGCACACTACCCACGGTAATATTATAATTAATAAAACATAGACACCCAATAATACAGACAAATAAAGTGGCACCAAATAATCATTATAAGACCTCACCCCATGCTGTAAACTTAACCTTATTTCAACATGAATGCAATCTCTAAATACAGAAGCTCTCCCAACTCACATGGTGTTTCTGTCTAATTATTACTAAACCAGGTTTCTTGGCAAACCTTTTTCTCCCAGAAATACAACCTAAAGTCCCATGTTCGTTATGATCCCCCGTATTGTGTACAGAAGCAAAACATGAGTTCTCATGTGTTGTTATAATCATGGACTCCCACAAACCTCTATAAAAAAGAATGCAATACAAGCAAATCACTAGTTCTGCCTTTATGGAAGTGAACAAGAGGATGTAAGTGAAGCTTTGTTGATCAATGTCTGCATTATCTCCAGCTTATGTGACCCCAAAATATGGAACAGGATCAGGAGAAGAAAAATGAGTTTTTCCACATAGTTCTGGACTTTGGTTCACACACGTGTGCCACAGCCTTTGTATGAGTCTCCCTGGTGTTTTGTTTATCAAAGGTGATTGTGAAAGAATATATTTCTCATTTTGCCTGATTATTGTCATCTAATGTTGTGTTTCCTGAAATTCACATTTTAATTCTAACAGATGTGCTATTTCTGTGTTCAGAATATTCCCATGCATTATTGGTTACTAGCGTATTTATTCTTTAGTGACTGCACAAAAAGATGTCCATTTGTATCAGATATGAACTATATGAACTAAGTGATACTAATAATTTTTTTCTGGGAGCTTGCTCTTCACTAGAGGATGCTGAAAAGAAGAATAAATAAGAAATATATAAGTAAATCTGAGGGAGCAATAGGTTTTAAGGTAGTAAATGATGTTATTTTGGAAATTGAGTGCAGGGAAAGAAGGGCGTTCACCTGGGTGATCCTGGTGCTGACACTAAAACACAGAGAAAGGGCTCACAGACAAGAGCTGTGCTGAGAACAACTGAGGAAATACAGCTCAACTTTGAGTGATGGTTTTCGGAATCTGGGTTACCAGGATAGAATCAGCTGTGGTGATTTGGTGAGGTAGGAGATTAGGATGTGTGTCAGCACATTCCAAAGGCAAGCCTGGTCAAATAAACATGGTGCAGACAGGAGACCAAAACAAGAGAAATCATCTGTTAAAATTATTTTGGGGGCTGTTTCCTAAAGTTCCTTACTCTACAAATTTGTAAAAATCTATTTTGAAATGTAGTATTTTAACCTTTTATCCAAAATATTTGAGATTCACACCTTAAAATATCCCAGTTCTTCAGTTCCCCCCAACAAAGACTTACTTGGCAAAATATTTCTTAGGAAATGATTCCAACAGGTCTACTGGAGCAGAAATATTTTTACCTGAAGGTGGGTTAGAACATCAAGCTATGTCTGTAGACTGTCTTTGTGATATACAGGCACATCTCTGGCTTCAGGTAAGACTCAAATATTTCTGCTAATCTGTGGTGATATCAAAGGGAAAAGTGCAAAATAATTTAAACAGGAAAGTTCTTTGTCTTTTATAAATTTCAAGTCTTGCATCACTTGAAAATCTCTGTAGGCACAAGATACACAGCAGATCTTTGTAAAGGCCCCTGGCTAATACCCAGGATCCCCAGAAGAGAAGAGCTGAATAGACTTATTATGTGTTTATATCTCAAGGCCATTAGCATTATAATCACTGTTGCTTTCTATACACAGATTTGCTGGCCAAAGAAATCATTCTAAAATAGCACCATGAAGGACAATGCTCTGGTATTTGCCAGTACTATAGCAAGCTGAGCGAATACTCCCTTAATTCCATTTATCATAGAATTACATGACCTAAGATAGTTGTAAACAAAAGCTTATAATTTAGGCAGTTCATTTAAAATGAAGATATGAAGATTTCTCCTATCATATATTCCTCACACCTTCCTTCTCTTAATGACTGAGAGGGTTGCAAGGTAAGTTCAAAATGTGCATTTTCTAAACCACTTGGGTCGTTTAAGTTCAGGTAATGTTGAGAGAAACTTTTTCTATGCAAAACCAAAGCTCAGTGACATAAAAAGTGAAGTAAATTATTGTGGTTATCTTTTAAAATCCCCCACTGAAGAGCAAATGAAATGAAAATGAAAATGAAATGACTTTTAAAGATAGAGCTGTAAGAATTTTAAAATTATATTTGTGTATCTCTTTTGCCCTGTAATAAATTTCATAATATTAACTAAAATTTTAGTAGGGTTTGCCAAAATAATTTTGACTACAAAAATATAGTTAGCAAAATGCCACTTATCTCCTTCATATTTCAGAAAAAATGTTAAAATTTATAAAGCTTGGTTTCTCCTCCTTAGGTATTTTGAGGTACAACTGGGAGTATAGAGAAGTAAATGGTAGCTTTTTATCACTCGTTTCCACTCTGCAGTGCTCAGATTATCTATTTCTATTCTTGAATACAGTCTTTTATTTTGTGAACATGAATCAACTGGAATTTTTCCAAAGATAGATGTAAATTATAAAGTAAAAAGCAAGTCAGTATTGTAGTTTGAGTGAGGGGTTTCACACCTTTGGCATGTAGGATTGATAAATTCCCAAACATTTTAATTAAATATTGCTAAATTCATTAAATTGTCAGAAACATAATCATATTAAATATAATTTAAAATGTGACTTTTTGTTTATTACACACATTACTTTCTAAAACATGAAATTATTTCAAACTTTAAAACAATTGCAGGCATATTGTGTAGAACTCTCAAATAACCTTTACCCCAATTCCTGATCTTTGAATACTTTTCCACAGTTGAGACATGAAACCTAAGGAGTATTTTCCATTCCAGTGAGTGTGAAGCTGATGAGCACAACCAGATGATGACAGGATGAAAAAAGCTTTTCTGTGTTATGTTACCGTTTTGCATTTCTTTTCCTTCAGGGGAGAACCATGGTTGGACAGGGTTTCTTCCTAGCCCATCATACCATAGTGATATATGTGCACCCATGTTTAGAGCGGCACAGTTTGTAATAGCTAAAATGTGGACAGCCCATTTGCCCATCAGTTGGAGAATGGATAAAGAAGCTGTGATTTTTCTATAAAATGGAATACTATTTAGCAATAAAAAATAAGAAATTAGAGTCATTAACAAGGAAATGGAAGCATATTGAGGATATACTCTTTTTTGGGGGGTGTTGAGACAGGGTCTCACTATGTAGTTGAGACTGACCTGGAACTCACTATGTAGCCCAGGCTGGTCTCGAACTCACAGCAATCCTCCTGCCTCAGCCTCCCAAGTGCTGGAATTACGGGTATGTGCCACCATGCCTGGCATTGAGGATATACTCTTAAGTGAAATAAATATATCACACATGTGTAAATACCAAATAGTTTCTCTGGTGTGAAAAACTATAATCATAAATAACATCCTAATGGTATAATTGACAATGTGAAATAGGAAGAAAATGGCTAAAGGTGTAGAGGAAGTGGGAAGGGTAGGGGAAAGGAATTAAGGGAAAAGAAAAAAATATATAAGAAAATTAAAAAAAGGAAATAAAGTTTTTGTAAATAGGGGAGGGAGGAGGAGATGAAGGGGGTCAGGGATAAGGGGAAAAAATGAGAACCAAGACCTGTCATGCAAAGGTAAAATATCCCAGTGATTAATGTAACTGTACTGTATACTTAAAAAGTTCCAATAATCTCAATGAGAAAAAAAAGTGTAGAAGACAGCTTTACCCATAGAACTTAGCAACTCAGTCCGTGGGTACATACTGCAATTCCTCAAAAATGTAGACTGAACACAGCCTTCATCTGGGTGTGCATAGAGGTTTTATTCAGCATCCTCAAAACTTACAACCAACTCTGCAATTCCTCAGAAGGTGAAACATAATCCTTAGCTCAACAACACCAGAACTTTAGAGATCAAAAATTTAATCCAGATAAAAATATAGATATTTCTATGTGAAGAAGCCCCACTGGGTGATACTGATGCTTGGTTGATATATTTTGGAAAAGGGGAAATTTTACACATAGAACACACATCAGGGATTTTTGCTTAGATTAACATAGTGTTCGGTTCATGAAGTACAAGAGACATATTTCTAAAGTATTTATTTTAGATTAGTGTTGTATTTACAAAACCTTTACAAAGTTTTAGAAAGTTAATGTATACCACATATATGTTTACTTTAAAATTAACTTCTTTCATGGTTATAGTACATCTGTCACAATCTATATACTGTTAATGATGTACTGTTATTAATTAAAATCATACATTATTTTTCTTATTAGTAACTTAATGTTATCCTTATGCTCATAGTCCTAATGTAACACAACACTGTACATTTAAATTATGTTTGTCAGAATTTCTTCATTTTTGACTACCG